CTCACAAGCCTTCTAGTCCCATCCCGTTTCCTCAAAGCTGAGTGACTTTGAGCACGGAGAAGTGTATCAGAATAAGGCCGCCAAGGAGAGGAAAGACCAGCTGCACTCCTGGAAGTGAGTGAGATAAGCCATGATGGTAACTCTCTTTTCACTTTGCAGTCAATATTCCAGCCTGTGGTCCCTCACCAGCAACTCTATCAGTCCTGCTACTCAGTCCAGCTCCAACCCCCAGTTCCCGAGAGGCTCTTCGGTCTCTTACAGCAGCTTGGCCTCTGCTATCCCAGCCCCCTCCACATCCCCAGTCTACGACAATGCCCTGGCAGAAGTGCCCTCGAGTGATGGTCAGTATGACTCTGCTATTCCCCGTCTGGCATCCACTTGGGCAACAGTCACTCAGACTTACTGATGCTGAGAAGCTGCCCTCGTTCATCTTCAAAGATAACTGGAAAGATGCCGGCAGAGGGCAAGGAAAGGGGCACTGAACAATGGTGCGAACCTCTCTGCTCTCACAGCACGTAGCTGATTGCATAGTCCTACAAGATGAGAACACGTCTCACAACCTCCATCATTGTTTAAAGGCTGTGGGATAATATGGAAGACGGACTCTTATAGAGCAAGCAGAGGATGATACGCATGGTAATCTGTGCTCCGCAGCACCAGGGCATATCTCCAAGGAGAGAATTGGCTTTACCCCCATAGTTTGGAAAGCGAAGAAGAAAGATGCAACCTGTCTGACTCTCAGGATGGTGGAGCAAATGAGGGCTGTCTTGTAGAGCGCATGTCCCAGCATAGCATGCTGGCTGGTTGGACCTTGTTATCAGTTGCACACAGGAGACCCAAACAAGGGCAATAAGATCTGCAAACACGTGTGGGCCACGATCTTGAAAAGCTGTGTATTATTTATAGAGCTTCATTGTAAATAAACCTTTCTGACAACTAAGTGTTGTTTGCCTTTTGCTGAAGACTGAAACCCTCCGAGTTCTTACCGATGTAAGTGCTGATAAGGGGGTTTGGAGCAGGTATAAGAAGAGGGCATCCTGGCTGTAACTGACCCTCTCAACTTACCGCCTTCTTGCTCCTCCCTGAGGGAAGTTGATCTCGGATACCAAGACTATGCTTCCTCCAAATCAAGCAGCCGACCGCATGCTGTTCCCCAGAAGTTTGGCAAACCCTCTACTAAGACTAATTATAGGGCAAACCTCAAACTTTAACAGAGACCCTCATCCACACCATAAGCAGCCATGGGCGTATTGTGACTGATCATTACAGCCCCTCCCTCTGCTCTCAGAGCTCTTCCAAATATGCGTATGAGCCTGGGATTCAAATCCTTCCCAGATCCTACTGGAAAACCAGGTGGGAGAGAGGGAGGGGCCCACAACCAAACACCCAACAAAACAATATAGTGCCATAAAACGGAGTGCTTAGAATGCTTAAGAGTCCATCCAGGGAACTAGATCCTGTCCTTACCGGGGCTCATGAGCTCCACGAATCAACAGGGCTTTGTCCCCTCTAGTCAGTGTGATCTGTGCCGCTGTACTCACTTCACCCTCCACTCCCTGCCTCTTCCCCTACGGTCACAGACCCAGAGCTACAGGTCATAAAGTGACTGGAATAAAAAGATATCTTCATGAATAGTAAGAAATACTAGTCACCATTTCAGGGTGGGTCAAACTTTACTATGCCCCTTAGGAAAGGGGAAGAGAGAGAACACACACTGTGCCTCAGTGAGATGTCATCCAAGAAATATAATTTAAAAAAATAAAGAAAAACCCTCACTATATTTAATCACTTCCTGGAGAATGGATTAAAAATCCCAGCTGGATTCCAGGCTCTCACTTCAGGTCAATGGAGCATTTCAAGGCTGAAAGCTCTCTACAATAGCTAATTGCTAAACATACCCAGACCAGCTCTGCTTTGGAGATCCCTCCTAAATGAAAATGAATCAGGGAAGCGGGAACGAGGCTTTGGCTCCTGGGTGTTCCAGGAGTGCGGCTATTTCACACATTGGTGTCAGCAGAAGGTTAGCCTGAGTCATTTGTCGACAAATATCTAACTTGGAGGTATGTGGCAAAGCGAGGTTGCGGGAAAGAGGTGGAGGACCAGAAGGAATTTGCTGCTTCTGATTCAAGCAGTGACTTACAATTGGGAGTTGGGGAGTCCTACAGATAGATCAGCTCTGCTCCATAAGATGAGACTTTCAGAGCCACGTAAGCTTGCCATGCATTTAACTCACATTTCAGAAATAACTACTGTCCTTTACCCCCACTTGATGTCTTTGTTAACTAGCGGCATGATCCAAAACATAACCCTTCCCTGCTTCTGGGAACTCCCAGATACACAGCCATGCAGGATGTATAAATACAGTGGGTGTAAACCCACTTATATCACCAACTTTTCTACCACCTCAGTTTTAAGATTCTCCATTTCCAGCTCCATTTCAAGGCCGCTGAGCAGAGAGGAACAGTTATCAACAGGAATGGAATTGGTCTCACTGCATTTCTACACCCTGCATTTCATTTTTCTTCTTCACCCATGTTCAGTCTCATCTAGTATGTGGCTAACAGCAGGTACATTGAGGCCTGAGTGTCCAATAGGCAACACTTGCACTGAGAGATGCAGACAGCAACATTTCCCCGTGGGTTTTTCAATGGAGCAATCGTCCCATTAAGTCAAACCAGTTGTAATATCAACACTTACAACTACTGTATAACTAAGCAGCAATAATTCATACAGAGGTACAATTTAATTACTCTGTCTGACTCACCTAGTTCACGAACAGGAGAGGCCTCGTTATTACTTTCGTAGGGGTCTGTTACCATACACGGTGGTCTGATGCCTTGTGTTTGCTGATCAGGCAATTGCTATCTTCTCTCCTCTATGATCTCTGTGGGTTCGCATAATGAGGAAATTCTGATACCCAAGTGAGACATTGCTTTCATCTGGTTATGCTCCTTCCATCTCCCCCGTCTCCCTGGGTCCTAAACCCTCCTAGCACAGGGACAGAATTTCCACACTACACTTGGTTTTAAGGTTCCGAAGTGACGAGATAGCACAGAGAGCAACTTCTACCATTAGCCAGAACGGAATGGAGAGAAAGTGAGAAGTAAAATAGTAAAGAAAGATACTTCCAGCTATCAAGGTGTCTTCACATTAGAGAAACTGAAAAGGTTAAAATTTAGAGGGACTTAGAAATGGATTTCCTGACCTATTACTAAGAATAGCTTAATGCTGGAACTCTGAACATTTACTTTTCACTACCGATATTGTTTGTTTTTTGCATTTCTCTCTGACTGGAAAAAGAAAAGGGACTACTCAGTTTCACACTCTGCATTCTCCTGCACTAGCATAGTGCTGCAATGGCAAACACTACAGGTGAATTTAAAAAAAGTACTTCTGCCTTGGAAACTGAAAAAAGCCAAACAACATAGAAATGTTTCTATTGGTCTTCAATTTTATATCGAATTTGACCTAACAATGCCCTCTTAAAGCACTACATTTCTCCAAGCTGTAAAATTCACATTTCAAACACCCTCTCAAGCGACTGTACGGCTAACAGAAGAGCAGGTAAGTTTATATCCCACATGGATTACAATACCTACATGCAACAGGGTGAGTAAAGGAGGGAGTATCAATCTAAATACATGATTAGACAGCACTTCAATCTATACACAATCACTGAAATGTAGCTACCACGGTGGTAGAGAATACCAACAGCAGGCACAACACCCAGTGCTTAATGCAGGCAAGACCCTACTCTTATAAAAAGTGCCATGAAAACTCTGAACATACAGAGCAGACAGATCTTTGGTTTTTCAATTCTAAACTCCAGATTGGCCTTCATGACTTGATTGATATGAGGCAACCCAACCGTGTGTGTGTCATGTGCATCCCCATTCCGTCACCAACAAGCAACATAGTAGAAAGTTTCCTTCTCTGAGCCACGGCCATGATACCATAAGATGTAGGAAAATGCAGATCTCACTCTTCTACCGTGAGTCTTTAGTACCACCCACGTTTATATTCTCTATTAACCGTTAGTCTACAATTGGGGAGAGTATAGGGGAAGAGAGGGAAACTTTCCTGCTAAATTCTACAGCAAAAAGCAACTATATTATTCTTTACAATATTTCAGCCGAAAAGAGATGGAAAACTTGGTCTGAACACAGGACTGGGAGCCAGGAACTGCTGAACATTAAAATTTTGGCTCTGCTGCTTAAGCCCTCTGTGGTTTTAAGTCTCTTAACCTTTTGGTGCCTCAGTTTTGCCATCTGTAAATCATTATGAATAAAAACTTATTCATGAGCCTCACCAGGGTGCTGTTTGAATTAATACATGTGTAAATTGCTTTGAATATTACAAGCTAATTGCCAGGTATGATCAGTTTAAAAAACAACATGTACCTGTCTCAAGCAGCCTCCTTCAGGGCAGATTCAGATCATTAGATGCCATTCTAGCAGAGAGAGGTGTGTTTACACCAGCAGTTAACTGGCCTCATAACTGTCTCTCACTATCTAAAGATGCAAACAGCAACTAGGAGCAGAATTACTCAGGGTTCCCTCAGGGAAGTAGTGGACACACCGTTGCTTGGGATGTTTAAAACTCAAGTGGGTAAAGCATTGGACAATCAATTGTAGAGAACAATCCCACAAAGACGGAGGGATATAGCAAAGGAAGGATATAGTAAAGGACCTAGTAGAGACAAGGAAAGACCTAACTTCTATGGTTTGCTACAACCTTTGTGGAGCTACATTCTTCCGCTGAACCACACAGGCTCTTCCCCAGTCATAAGCCTATGAACACTCCTGTTAGTACAGTTTGGGCAAAGCTTTCAGGAGCTCACAACAGGACGTTGGCAGTGTTTCATCATGCAGGGCAGAGAGACAGAATTTGTCCACTGGAACAGAATGCACAAGAAGTGACCTCCTTTCCGCCACCCCATCCCGAGCAGATACTTGTTCTGCTTCCAGGTAGGTCACAGAAGGAAACAACAGAGACGAGACTGATTTTTTAACAGAAACATGTGGCAGCGTCTACAGCTGCAATAAGGAACCTATTCACAGCTCTTCTTGTCCCTCATGCTTTGCAGCACTGTTGCAGTTTATTTTATTTTCTCCACTTCAGGGGAGTTCGTAGCAAACTCAGAAGTACAAGGTGAAACTAAGGGGCGGAGAAGTGTTTTTGTTAAGAAAGAGCTGATAATTAAAAACAAACAAACAAAACCCCTCACACCTCTCCTCCCCCCAGGGATGAACGGACAGGTAGCTGGCTCTCTAAGGAGTGGATACTCCTCACTGTGAGAATGCACAGAGGTCCCATTCAATACATGGAGAATTCATACCACAAGAAGGAGCTCCATTCATTCACTGCAGTAGATGCTGATTTGTCTTTCACTTGAGACATAGCCTTGGTCATGGTGGTGAGGGATGAGACTTGGCAAAAGTGGGCACCTATGTCTTGTCTGCTGTACAGAGAGGTTGTTTTCTTCTGCTGCTGATGTCCGGATCAGGTGAAGATTCCCTCTGGTTCCTGTAAGGAGATCTTGAATTTGTCCTGCTCTCAGCTATGGAGGTCCTGATCTCATTGTCACCCAGAAAAACATAGCTCATACACACCGAGATCCAGACACAGGACTGCATTCATACAAAGAGGGAACCTAACAGCTGGCCTTCTGCCCAGAAAGTACCGGGTCCGAGTCACACTACACAGAGGGTCCCTCATGCTCCTGCTGGGAAGAGATGAGACACATTTAAAACTGGAACGGAGCTCCTTCCACTACGAGCCTGCTGAAAGATACAGGAGCATTATATTTCCATTGCTTCCTGTTCCACGGTTTTCTCCTGAGGCTGCACATACTTCTCCTGGACTGCAAGTGTACTGATCATCCAGGAATCAAGGAAAACAAGACAGCAAGAAGGACTGGTGTTCAAAGCACCCTATGAGACAGAGGAGCTCTAACCTTCTCATCGGAGAATAGACTCCAACATTAGCCTGAAAACTAACATGGGAACTAGTAGCACTGGTAAGAAGATGCAACGTTCAAATGCATTTGTAGTTTCTTGCTGGTCCAAACAAGCTCCAAACAAAGTGGCATTAATTCAAATTAATTAATTATGCTCTGTGGAAGGAACGAGCCCAGTGAGCATGAATGACAGAGATGCAGTCAGTGACATCCCCACAATTAAGATCCCAATTAGTGCCAAATGTGGCTGTGGTGGGTTTGATGTGGACACTTGTCTGATAGGATTGGAGTTGAGACCTAACAACTCGTTGTACACATGCCATTAAACTGCATCAGATAACGGTACTAATAACTTGGCCTGAATTCAGACCTTGAGAAGACAGGCCTATATGAAATCCCCAGAGCCACATATCCGAGTTCAAGACTCCATACAGGAGAGAAGAGCAGCTGAAAGGATACGATGTGAAGTGGAAATCAGCTCCCACTGCTGCAGACATCAGGACTTCCAGGCTTCTCTGCTCCAAGTCTCCGAAGGAGTAGCCGTTGGCTTTGTCCACTGCCTGCATCACCCGTCGCATACTCTCCTTGTCCTGGGAAGAGTGACACACGGTGGGGGTGAAAATGAGAAGCAGCAGCTTTAACAGAGCATTAAGAAGAAAAAACAGCCAAGCAGACTGAGCTAGCCGGGGTGGGTGCAATGCCATAGCCGTATGCTCAGCCTCGGGAGAGAAGAGGAAAGCCTCACAATTCTCCCTGGAACGTGATTTCTTTCTTAGGAAGAAATGAGATCTGTGCGCAGCTCCCAATATCAGCGAATGTGAGGTTCAGGGCTTCTGAGGGGGGGAGAGGGAGCGAGATGGGGGAAATTGCAGCAGCTGCGTTGTGTATTCTTTCACTTGAGGAGCAGCATACGAGGGCTCAGAATTCCAGCCCTTGGGTGCTGGCTCGACTCACATAACAGCCAAAATGCCAACATGAACTAATGAACTGTTATTTTAATAGCCCCCAAACGCATAGCAGATGTTTCACAGAAAAAACAACAGACAGATCCCTGCAGCAAAGGGCTTACAATATAACGGATGGACTTGGCCATCTTTTAAGAGAACCTGGCCTAAATAGGGCAGTTACTCTGGACCTACGTCGAGGATGCTCTGCAGCCTAGACTTGAAATAAAATCTCCATTTCCCCTGAAGACTTCAGTGATCTACAGGAAGCGGTTTAGTGGCTAGAGCAGGGCACTATATGTCAGCAACTCCTGAATTCCAGTCAGAACTCTAATGATGACTCCCTCCTGTGCAAGTAACCTAACCTTGCCTGAACGTCCCTATCTCTAAAATGCAGTGAATGACCCTTACCCTGACCTACATCACAGAGCATGAGGATTAATGTATGAGGATTAATGGGCGGAAAACACTTTAAAGAAAGTAACGTGCTGTATCATAGACATCAGAGGGGAAAAAAGACATGCCGATCTTGGGACCTGAAGAACTGTCTCCTTCCAGTACAAAACTATTCTCTATAATTAGGGATTTGTTCAGTCTAGTTTTAAAAGTCCAAGTAATGAGGCTTCCACCACTGTCATGGGACGCGTCCTCCACAGCCTTCCACACCCCACTGTCAGGAGGGTTTTGCTGCAAAGCAGTGTGATCTGGAGGAACGAGTGCAGGATTGAAGGTCAAGAGGTCCAAAGATGCAAACTGGGCTTTGCCACTGACTTGCTGCGTGGCCTTGGGCAAGTTACTTCCCATCTCCAGGTCCAACCCTATGTGCCCAAAGAAGTCAATGGGAGTTTTTCCATTGACTTCAATGAGAGTTGAATCAGGCCCTCGGTGCTTCAGTTTCCCAGTCTGTCCATAAGATAGGGATAACAATACCTACAAACTTAACCGATAAGTGGTGCTGGGTGATACCAATGCCTGCACAGTGCTTTCAACAGGCGAAATGCTATAGAAATAATTCCTCTCCCTCCTGCTCCCTTCAAACATTTGTATCTTCCCCTATTGTCACTTAAACAACTCTAGTAAACAAACGATTAACTCCTTTTAATCCTTCCTTCTAAAATTATTCCTCCTGTCTAATTATTTTTGTTGCTCTTCGCTTGCTGCAAATTTATTGCCATATTTCAGGTGATGTAGTGCCCAGCAATGAATGCAGAACCCCAGATATAGTTACAAGACAACTGCGTAGAGGGGGATCCTTAATTCCCTGCTCCATGATGCAATGCCTATGCATCCCTAAACTGCATTAGCTGTATTTTTGCTGCCACAGTGCATTTATAAATTCAGGACTGATTTGCTCTCCATTTTCACCCCATGTGTCTCTCAGTATTATAGCCTCCTGGCTTTCTCCATACTACTGAGTATCTGATATTTTGGATTCCCTCCCCACCCTGATATATTAGCTGTATTTTTCTCTTTTCTGCTCAAGTTTTCACTCTCTATACCTCCCTTCTCTATTTCTGTGTCCTGACCAGGGTTTGCAATTCCTTTAAGTTTAGTACCATTTGAGTTTCGTTAGTCTCCCAAAGCCCTCTTCTAGACCATTATCAAAGGCACTCAATAAACTTGGACTTAATACCTATAACCTGCATGGGTAATACGGGGTTGTTGTTTTTTTTAATATGAGAGCCATATAAATATGCTTATTCAAGGCTACAGAAATCAAGCTGTGAAATTACTAGTCTACTCGACACAGCCAAAGTCTGGAAAAAACCAAAATGGGCAGTGACACGAGATTTTATTTTCACAGTGCTCACTGAGAGAACAGAGCTCCCTTTAGAAGCCCACAAACTTAATCTAGGCAGTTAATGAATCAGAAAGCTACCTGCAGAACGTTCCTGGTCATTTCCAACCCCCCCACGCCTCAAGCTGGGTTACCTGGACATTGAGTGGAACAAAGGAGACCAGGCTGTAGTCCTCAATCACCTCCACCAACTTCTCATTGAGGCGACGGTAGTTCTTGAAGAATGGATCGGTGGCTAAATGGTCTACGAGGTAAGAGAGATCCAGAACCTCGGTGTAATAATCCAGGTTGAAGGCTGCAAGGAAAGACAAGAGAAGCAGCTTCAGGACTAGCTTCCAGGGTCTGCATTCTTCCTATGGGTTTGGAGGTGGGGGTCCTGGCCCACCCCTTTCTTTGCTATCTGAACATGCTCTGTGACAACATTAACTCCTCTGTGTGGCTAGCAGGGCAAGCGCCCTCTTCAAAGGCTCCAATGCCACCCTACCATCAAATGAGAATACGCAACAAAGCCCGGTGAACAGCATGTCTCTGCCCCCATAGAGGGTTGAGTCAGTCAGCTCCCCAGCAATCCCACTGGCACGAGAGGCTCCACTACTGAGAGTTTCCCCAACAGGTACAATATGACTATTTTGTGTAGCGTCTCACACAAACTATATCGCAGTTTGCTTTTAGAGTCAAATACAAAGTGACATGGAGCAGGGAAGGAATGAGATGTGAAGATGAGCGAGAAGATACATCTTCAGAGGAGATGTAAAGAGAGGTGGAGAGATGGAGCGAGGCTGTTCCAGATGGCAGGGGCTGGAAAGGGGAGAGCAGGTGAATCTAATCACATCTAGAATGATGGCAGGTGCAACTACTTCCAGACACCTCAGCAAATAAGTTACTGCAACAGGTTCAGATTCGCACCCACCCGCCAATGTACAATGAACACCCCCACCTCACACATCACCGCTGAATTTGGCCCACTGAGTTGAAGTTGGTTTAAAATATATGTTAAAGGTGCAAGCTACACCAGCTTAGACTCACTTCAGCTCTCTGAATTTAGCCCCGAGAGCAGTGAGGCTGTGTGAAATGGCAGAGAGAGGAAGCTGATGATTGGATGGAACAGAAAAGGCAGAAGAAAATACAGACAGGTCTAGGGTGCTGCCAGTGAATGGAACCTAGGGCCACTTCAGGATCTCCTTTTTCTTAATGACTGGCTTTGAAAGTGCTTATGAGAGTACTCATGCACACAGCTAACTGCACAGGCCAGAACATTTCACCAAGAACTCAGGGAGATGTGATATACTTTCCCTCTCCATCATCCCCAAGTTGCTGATTATCAGGAGGTTAGTTTCTCTGTGATAAGAGTCAGCTTCACAACTCCTTTGCAGGGGCCTCATTTTCCTTCCACCCAGGCCCCCTTCCCAAAGGCGCTCACCCAGCTTGCCATACTGTTCTATCAGGTCCATCTTAGAGAGGACGTTGACGTGGGGCAATTCCACATGCAGCATGGTTGAGAGGGAGGTGCAAAGAACGGAGATGAACTTTCCAGGGTCTGTGCAGTAGTGAGAATCCACCAAATGAACTGCAGCCAACTGCAAAATGGAAACAAGAGAGAAATAGTGCAAAAATTAGAGGCAGGGCAGAATCTGCCTATGCAAATATGCAGAAGTCACTAAGGCAAATCTGGGACACAGGAGAAAGATAGAGGCATCCAGCCCTCAGCAGTTCTAAGCAGAAAAAAAACGTCAGCCAAATTCTCCCTAGATGTTTCATATACTTATTTGTATACTTGTGACCACTACGCATGATCCACTGTATAGTATATTAACCAAAGAGTCGGGAGACCTGGATTGTTTTCCCACGTTTGTCACTGATTTGCTGAATGATCTTGTGAAAATCACTTCGCTATGACTCAGTTTCCTCATGTGTCCAATGGGGATAATGATATTGACCCACTTTTATAAAGTACTTTAGTATCTAAGAATGAAAAAATGTTATAGATGTGCCAAATTTCACCAACAACAAGAGGGACTGTTAAAGTTGCAACTCTTCTTCCTCTTCAGCCCCTCTATTCACTTGCTTGGAATTTCTTTCCTATGGGGATGAAACTTTCCATGCTTGGTCTCAGCCCAAAGGTGATGGAAGTCCGTGTTAAATCCAGTTTTGAATTACTGGACTATATGCAATTTTTTTACCTTTCCCATAGAAAAATTCACCCCCCAAAATAACTCAATAACAGTAATTTTAGAACATCAAACGTCTGTAGGATGAACAGTCAGTGTGGTTTGTGAAAGAGTTAATAAATTTATAAACAATTTGATTAATAATTTTTCATACATATGAAACAGACTGGTTTAGGATTTTAGTTATGTTACTACCTGTCATACTACGAAATTGCACAAATGTATAGCTCCATATTACAGAGTTCAATTGTGTCAACAGCTACATTTTTTCCTGTATCTATAGAGTACTGAAGCTTATGGACCTGCACAAGAACTCAACTACGCAACTCTATAGTGATTTTTCTTTTTTCAAAAAGGATAAAAATTAAATACAAAAACTATGTGAATGCAACGTCACATTTGTTTATTTGAACACACACACAAATGCAAAAGTTAAGATTCTAAATAAGGTTCTCAAGTAAAATTACCTTACCTTCCTTGATTGTCCTGTATACTGGTTATACATTAATGGTCTAGCCAGTAATCCAAAGTATGAGATATGTAATGTGAGCAAGCTAGTTTTATTATGGAAACCTTCACTTGTGCATTTGCTGGCTTGTGTGTTTCAGTGTACAAGAATGTTGAATTAATGTAAATGTTTGCATCAAACACATTAAAATACAATTTGCACCACAATTTTTGTTAACTGAATGAGATCTGAGTTACACATCTTGAAAGATCATTTGAATTTCTTGGGATAGAATCCTACAGGTCCCTAATAATCTGGAATACAAACATTCCTCCCTATCTCAAGCTACAATGCTCACCGAGTTACAATGTGTAAGCTTTGCTCTACTCCTGGTGTCTTTCTACAAAGGACTGGGAGGGAAGAGCCCTGGATTCTATTCTTTTGACTTGCTGGGTGGCCTTGGGCAAGTCCTCTTTGTGCCTTGTTCCCCACAAAATACTTTCCTACCTTTGTAAAGTGCTTTGATATACTTGGCTGAATGGACCAATACACAGCAAAAGCATATCATTACTTATTACAGACAGTCCACAGATTCATAAGGCCTATCTGCAAGACGTAACACTTTTAAACATGATTCAGCAAACATGCGAGAGCTACGGGAGCTGAACCATCTTATTACTATAATAAAACCCAAAACATACCCTGAAGTTCCACTTAGCTAACTGTGCAAAGACGTTTTTCAATGCGCCATGGTGGGTGCAGAGTTCTACCTGCCCTGGGCAGTCAAACAAAAAGTAATGACCCTTGAGTTTAGCCAGCTTTTCCTGCAGCCAGTCAAAATTGGCTTCCAGGTACTCCATGCAATAGATCAAACCGCCATTGGGCCCCAGCTTCAGATTATCCATCACATCAGCCAGGGTGATAAGCTCTGAGATGTCCACAGCACACTGATAGGGAGTCCCTTCATTGGCTGGGTCCAAATTCACCACAGCCACCTTCCGCCCAATCTTGGACATGAATTCCTGCATGCCAAAGCAGTAAGTGGTCTTCCCGGAGCCAGGTGGCCCAATCACTGCCTGGCCAAAGGCCAGGGAAGACACGTGGTTTTCTGACATGTCAGCTCATTTCTTTCTCCTCCTAGAAAGAGAAAGGAAAAGGTTAAGACGGTGCCCTTTATTCGTGTTTATAGGAATATTATGCATTGAAAACTGAAGTTGCCAAGTAATCATCAAACCTGGGAGGGCCTATCATGGAGTGAAACCCCCCCTTCCACCTCCTGAGCGGGATGGAGGGACCATGCCAAGACAGGGGAGTAAACCTCATTTTATCCTTCCTGTCTGGACAGTCTCCAGTCCCTTCCAGGCGCTGGAGTAGGCAATATCTCAGCCTGTCCACAGGCCCAAACCAGCTGCAGAAAATAACCACAATACACAGGGCTACGCCACTGAAGGGAGGAGATTCAGATTCTTGCTGACAAGATGTTGAGTGCCTTTGAAGTTCTTGCAGCCTGTCTAGGACTGTTACTCTCAGACACACCCATTACGATCACCCTTGCAATACGACAGGGATTCCTGCACTTGGATGTTCAGAGAAATTTATTTTTCCACTGAAGATGGCTTTCGGTTGACGTTATAATTCAGAGGTCAATCTCATTTTGGGACACAAAGTCAAGTTAGTGTAGAGGGTTCTCAAGCTAGTAAAAATATTAATATCAAACCCAAGAGAAAAATCCCTGGGCAGAAAGCACAATTATTTAAGACCCTGGAGCCTGTAACACCTCCTCACGGCCAGGCTCAGCTTTGTGGGGTCACTGATGGGAGCATGGCTGGGGAGGAGGTCTGGGAGATAATGGAGAGGGATGAGAGAGTGGGGTGGTGAGGCCCGGGGGAAGCAGGTGGGTAAGGGAGGTTTGGCCCCTGGGGAGGGAACCTGAGGGAGGTTAGACCACTGAGGGTAGAGAGCGAGGGACATTATGAGATGTCTGGGAGATCTGGAGAAGCTTAGAGAGATGAGGGTCTGGGGAAGGCTGGGCAGGGGGTTGGATGGCTGAAAGGAGCAGGTGCCCAGGGGTCCAATAGGCAGGGCCGGCTCCAGGCACCAGCTTCTCAAGCAGGTGCTTGGGGCGGCCGCTCCGGAGAGGGGCGGCAGGTCCAGGTATTCGGCGGCAATTCGGCGGACGGTCCCTCACTCCGCCTGGGAGCGAAGGACCTCCCACCGAATTGCCGCCGCAGATCGCGATCGCGGCTTTTTGTTTGTTTTTTGTTTTGTTTTGGCTGCTTGGGGCGGCCAAAACCCTGGAGCCGGCCCTGCCAATAGGGTCAAAGCCAGTGCATAAAGTAGTCTGAAAAAAGTGTGTGTGTGGTGGGGGGGGGAGGGTGTGAATCATAACCCCTGGCCAAGTAAATGTTCATTCATTTGAAACAGGCAATTCACCATTTCTTTTATGCATCTCTGACATGATCACATGCAATGTTTAGCGCATTACGATATGTATCCCTATTTATCGTTACTGTTTATGAATGAAACAACAAAGCCTCGTACACATTATTCAAATTAAATACACCCTGTGAACTTGGGGTGTCTCT